ATCATCAAGGATCACAAGGGAGATTCCAGAGGCCTAATTTCGAGTTTCTCAGTCATAAAAATTTACAAGTAAACTATTTCTGTCATACTTGGAGTCTCCATATTCACAATTATGGAAGTTAGAGTGTACGCTTATTGCTTTTCAGAGAATTCGATAAATATTTTTACTAACGATGTGTATTGCTAACGTGTACTTTCTGTGATTCTTGGGGTATATGGATACTTGTGCGATATTGAGTGCGCATCAATTCAAGGATCCAACCAAGCACTTCCCCATTTATAGCTAAAAGCTTGAAGACCGGAAGTCATGCTCTGATCCAACAGCGCGCCCCAATGACAACCTCGGGTTACTGTAACACGGATTCCCGGCCTCTGGAATCCGTCTTGTGAGATGGCAAGCCAGTCGTAATATCTAAGGTGTGGCGTGCACATTACATCTGTCACACTACATCGCACGCCATCCATTTACCGCCGTGTCCGAGTTTCAGTGGGGGGGACGTTCCCTTGAAGTACAGGCTTTATTTGAATTTGTCGAGTCTCCCGGAAAAGTTGAAACATTGGCGCTAACGCAGTTGGGAGGGGCACGCGGCGGGTGCTAACGTAGTTGGAGGGGGCCACGCGGCTCTCGGCCAGTGATGACTCATCGATCGATAGCAGCGTTGACATACTAATCTAGCAGCAAAATTAGAATAAAACAAACAAGACTCACCGGAAACTTGCTGAGAAATCCCACAGAAACTGAAAACAACATTGTATGATCTTTTGTAGTCAAGAACAGCGGTCTACAACAAAAAAGCAACAAGTTTAGGCAAAATTTTCGGTGCTAACGTATTTGGGGGGGACCACGCGGCGCGCGGCGAGTGATGACTCATCGGCTCTTCACTCATCGGCATACTTGAAGCGCGATTCTAGCAGTCAAATTAGAATAAAACAAACAAGGTTCACCGGGAACTTGCTGAGAAATCCCACGGAAGCCGAAAACAAATGTTTGATCCTTTGTAGTCAACAATAACAGTCAACAACAAACAGGCAACAAAATTTTGTAGTTGATTCAAAAATCTTCCAGCCCACAACTGTTTCTTCGGACTTTTTAGCGTTACTGTATTAATATAGCTAGGTCGGTGTTATATCCATGTCCTAAACACAAAATTACTTCTATTTTGCCGAGGAGGGAGCAGAAGAGCAGATGAGTCATCGCACGCCGCGAGCCGCGTGGTCCCCCCCAAATACGTTAGCACCAAATTTTCCTGTCCACAACTGTTTTTTCGCATTCTTCAGAGTTAACTGTTTTATCTTTTGAATATAGCTAGGACAATCTTATATCTATGTCCTAAACATGAAAAGAAGAGTCGATGAGTCATCACTGGCCGAGAACCGCGTGGCCCCCTCCAACTTACTATCTGACCGCAGTTTCGACTAGATCGTCGTCCTCAGAGGTATAGACGTGGCTAAAGATCTATAATTTGCCCTATGGAGAAGAAGAGATAAATGTTGAGCCCAGTCTAAGTCTCTGAGTACGACTAAATGGTCGAAACCTTAGACCGGTAATGAAGGTGCCACCTGAAGCAGCACTCATGCATTGCGTCAGCGTTTTGAGAGACTAGAAAGTATAGTTATCGATCTGGCTTTTGAGCGTAGCCAGCGCGCGAAATGCCCGAAACGCTAGATTGACAATACACTGTCCTAGTAAGAAAGGCTGATGCGAAGTAACTTTTACAAGCAACGAAACTTGCATTCGAAATCTCTTATTGATTAACAAAAAACTCCAGACGTAATGATGTACCTGTGAAAGTTGGTCGATATGGTGTTCCACAAGTGGAACGCCGGCAATAGGAAAAAGAGGCTTAGGTAACTGAAGAGAAAGAGGGCGGAATCGAGTTCCTAAACACAAATTTAATAATGGAGTTCTTGAAAATATGTGGAAAATAAGAAATGCAGCTCTGCCTTATCCACCCCGTCCCATCATCCACAATACATACTTTCATTCCGTAAATACACACCTAACATTTACAAACTGAGAGGACAACTCTGAAGTACGACGGCCATGACGACGACGGGTAGGAAGAGAAAAAAGACATAGAGCGATAGAAGTGCTCCAGCTGCGAGAAACATGATGTGAATACGACGGTTACGCACCTTTCTGCGGACCGCCGACCAACACTACTGCCTTGAAGGCCATCCTCGACGTGAAGTGAAAACGGGGTCACCCGGCGCACCAAATCCTCCACTTGTCCCTGTTGTTGAACTATTTCCATTTCGATTTTTGAATCATTCGAATCCATAGCGACGATCAATAACACGAGTCTGGTCACGGACAAGCAAAACTAATCACATTCAAGAATGTTAGGATCCCGGGCACAACACTCAACATATGGAGTAGGAGTTGGGCCACATTCCTGATGTATCATCATATTTACTTTACAAAGCACTAACTTTGTGGGTAAGTTTGTTCGACAAATTTTTTTCGTGTCCTTCGCGAAAAAACACGGGGTCACCGGCAATTGGGATATGATAAAGGAACTGGAAGAGACAAACTGGAGTGAAAAATAACGAAATGGCGTTGCGGTACCTATCTAGCGGGTGCCACGTCTATTCCCAACACCGCCCCCTGTTAAAAAAATCCGGCGGGTAGCCCCAACCAGTCTGCTAGATGCCCCAAGGCAGAATGTAAAACGGATTGCTTTTGTTTTTGCTACAATACTGGCAAGGGCGGAGGTGAAAAGAGGCCTCGGCGGTTGTCGGGGGGGGGGGACTGGTTGCAAAATAAAAGACAGCCGTTGAAA